ATGGTTTTGGCATGTTTCTCCTCAATGTTTTAGTAAAAAAACAAATGTTCTCATCCAGTATGTTCATTGAGACAGTCAAATTAAGATGAGTATTTTAGAAAATGTTTTAAACTTATGCAAATTAGTAGAAATTTGCATAGTAAGTCCAACGTACTTTCGTTAACTCCTCCCGGCCGTCAAACTCAATTACATCACAACTTTCCCTGACAAGAGAGGAGGAGCGGTTTACCAAAAGTTGTGAAGGGATTTTGGTTAGTTTGCTTATTTGTTTTTATATGATTAAAAAAAAATTTTTTTTTGGAATGAAAAAGTTTTTTTAGCATAACTTCACAAGATTTTGACATTTTTCAAAGCTGTTCAAAACCACCATACCTAAGGTCAATTCAAGTCTATATCTTGATTTTCAGCTTGATTCAATAACAGGGGGCGCTATAACTGGGAAGAAATTTTACTGCTGACCCGGCTAAATAGATCTGCACGAAACTTAGTGGTTATCATCTTTATAGAGTCTTAAGACTACATTATCAATATGGTAATGATTGATCAAAGTGGGCGTGGTTTATGATCATTTAAAATTTTAAATTTGAAAAATTTCCTAAAAATCCTTATTTGCATGTAAGAGGCTAAGATTTCCAGATTCTGTTAACTGAGTAGCCTAGAGCTTATGTCACGAAAGCCGCAGCTCCTCGAAAAGGTTTGCGCTTTATATTTACGAAAATACATTTTTAGGCTAGCAATTGTAGCGCAAATTCTATTCTCACAATCTTCTTGTAATTTGCCACAAAGTTTACTCTTAGGTGGTTTATGAAATAAAAAAAATGTCGTCTTGATTTGAGCTCCCCCTAGTGTTTAATTATAGGACATATTTTTGTCCACAGCCACTAATGCAAATATTATTTTATTGTAAGTACAGTTTTACATTTATGACCCCAACAAAAACATAAGAAGAATTCTCACATCACAGAGGCAAGCTGGGAATATTTTTAGATTTCTGTACAAAAGCATAGATTTTTAATGAATTTTTAACTTTTTACCAGTTTTTCTGTATAGTTGGACAACATCGTAATTCATTTTTGTTAGAAAGCTTTTTAGGTATACAGTAAATATAAGCCATTTACAACATTCCACATGTACCTATGGTGATCTGAGATTTTTCTCCTAATTTTAGAAAGTAGCACTATTTTTTTATGAATATTTTAATTTTTGTTGGGACCTTTATAGTTATATTTCCCAATTTTTCTTCAAAAAAGCTTTGAGTACTTAATTAAAAACAACATCATATTTTTCCGCATGTTAACACTGTCATGTGAGAATATTTTGGTAATTTTAGGATGATTTTTGTATTTTTCATGATTGTTTAAAACATTTGGTCAGTAAGTCACAAAATGAAACTCATAGTTTTTGTTGAAAATCTTTTAAATCTAAAGACATTATCAAGTATTTATGTTATTTGTAATATTCTGTTTATGTATAGATCATTGTTTGATAATCTCACTCATTAAATCTTCACGTTCTTTAATAAGGAAACAGTGGAATTCCATTGTAATCACGATTGAGAAGTCAGCCATGCCTCTGAAAGATATGTGTATAGGCTTTGCAGGTTTAATGAGGTATCCTGAGTGTTACTTTCATTGCGCCGGTTGAAGTGAGCTGACGGGACGCCGGCGGGAGAACGTGTTTTTGGGGCGGGACCGCGTGAGGACTGGCGAAGTTGAGGGCGGGGCGGGTGGGCGACTGGCGCTGGGGGCTTGGAACCCGTTGATAACTGCTTGCAGTTCTAGTTGTTATTGTTTTTGAATGCTTTGTAATTCCGACCAGACACGGAGACAGAGGTGAAAGAGAAAGGAAAAGACAAATGGTGAAAAAAGAATGGGACACACAACAATACAACAGGAGCAAGCTATCACTGCGTCAACGTGATGATGAAATATAAAATCAACATTGTTTAACTGAACAATCTCACGATAATAAATCACAGTGCATTTAGTGGCAACGACAGCCTTGAGACAAGTGTTGAACGTGCCCAAGCCCATACTTATGAGAGCACCATGAGAGCACCTGTGTGTGTACACGCGCTTGTTTATGTAAGGTTTCTCTATAGGAGCGTCCAACAGAGTGTGAGGGACCACAGATCTGCCCCCAAAGATGTGTAGGAGACGGGGGGAGCTCCATGTCCCAGAGATCCAGGCGCTGCCCCAGAACACAGGAACCCCAAGGGGACTGCAACCAGAAAGGTCCCCCGCCCCCCTCCAGAGGCACAGAGGGTCGCCCCGGGGGGCCACAACCAGCAGCCGGCAGAGTCCCGGGAGACATCAGCGGCAAGCCCACAGGCCCTCCCGCAGCCTCCCACCCCCTAGCCGGCCGAGCCCGGGACCCAGATACCCGGGACCCAGGGGCGATCACCCCCGCCAGGGACCCAGCAGAGCCCAGGGACCCATACCCCACCAGGCAGCCACCGGGATTGACCAGGCAGGTGCCAAAAATCTTAAACCCCCTGACC